TTGATCACCTGAGGTCTGATCACCTGAGGTCAGGAGTTTGAGACCAGCCTGACCAACTCGGAGAAACCCTGTCTCTACTAAAAATACAAAATTAGCTGGAAGTGATGGCGCATGCCTGTAATCCCAGCTACTTGGGGAACTGAGGCAGGAGGATCACTTGAACCCAGGAGACAGAGGTTGCAGTGAGCTGAGATGGTGCCATTGCACTCCAACCTGGGCAACAAGAGCGAAACTCCATCTCAAAAGAAAAAAGAAAAAAAGAAAAAAGAAAGGTACGCAGCGACGGTACTGGTACCGTGGTCAAAATCAGGAAATTAACATTGATACAGTATTTTCATCCAGTGTGTTCTATAATCTTGTCTGTTGTCTCAATCTTGCCCTATATAGATTTTTTTTTCCTAGGCGAAGGTTCCAATCTAGGATCACACTTTGCATTTGAATGCTGCTGTCTCTTTAGTCTGCACAATTCCTGAGTTTTCTGTGTCTTTCACAACGTTGGCTTTTATTTATTTATTTAGTTTTAAATTTTTTTCGAGGCGGAGGCTCACTCTGTCACTCAGGCTAGAGTGCAGTGGTGAGATCTCGGTTGACTGAACCCTCTGCCTCCTGGGTTCAAGCGATTCTCCTGCCCCAGCCCCCGAGTAGCTGGGATTACAGGCATGCACCACCACACCCAGCTAATTTTTGTATTTTTAGTACAGACGGGGTTTCACCACGTTGGTCAGGCTGGTCTCGAAACTCCTTGATCGTCCAGTGATCTTACTGCCTCGGCCTCCCAAAGGTGCTGGGATTACACGTGTGAGCCACCAAGCCTGGCCAACATTGGCATTTAGAAGAGCACAGGCCAGTTATTTAATAGAATGACCCTCAAGCCTAGGGTAAGTAATGTATGGAAAGAAAGCTACACAAATACTGTCTTTTTCAGTGCATCATAATGGAAAAACGTGTTGTTGCCTTTGTGCCACTATTGTGGGCGATGTTACTTGAAGTATTTTTAACTAGAATTTTTAAGAAGTACATTTCCCATAAGACTCAGTACCCCAAGACATGCATATACCTTGAATGAAAAGTTTCCACAACAAGATTTACTCTTGCCATTTTCTTGTACTGTGGGATTTTTTTCTTTTTCTTTTCTCCCCTGCAGGAGGGGTGGCTGCTGGGGGCTGAAGACAATGCTAAACCTGAAATGTCTCGAGGACAGGGATGGGGTTTCTGTATCATCTGTGATCTCATGCTTGTTCAGTTAATACGAGAACTGGTTTCCTACGATTCCGGCACACTGGAACATTCGACACATGTTTGTTGAATGAAAAAAAAGAAAAAAAGAGAAATGCCTAGCAATTTGTTGAATAGTCCATAAAAGAGCAAAGCTGGCCTGGCGCAGTGGTTCACCCTGTAATACCAGCACTTTAAGAGGCCGAGGTGATGATCACTTGAGGTCAGGTGTTCGAGGACCAGCCTGGCCAACATGGCGAAACCCTTCTCCACTTAAACAAACAAAAAAATCAGTTGGGCATGATGGCATGTGCCTGTAGTCCCAGCTACTCAGGAGGCTGAGGCAGGAGAATCACTTGAACCCAGGGACGTGGTGGTTACAGTGAGCCAAGATTGCACACACCGCATTCCAGCCTTGGCGACCAGAACGAGATTTTGTCTCAAAAAAAAAAAAAAAAAAAAAAAGAAAAGAAAGCTATTATTAAAAAAAACACACTCCACACTTCACCCCGAGTCCCATATTGATTTTGTAATAAGGCAAAGATAATTTTTTTTCTTTTTTTGAGATGGAGTCTCATTCTGTCGTCCAGGCTGGAGTGCAGTGGCACGATCTCAGCTGACTGCAACCTCCGCCTCCCAGGTTCAAGCAATTCTCCTGCCCTCAGCCTCCCGAGTAGCTAGGATTACAGGTGCCCACCACCACACCCAGCTAATTTTTGTATTTTGAGTAGAGACGGGGTTTCACCATGTTGGCCAGGATGGTCTCAATCTCCTGACCTCAAGTGATCTTCCTGCCTCGGCCTCCCAAAGTGCTGGGATTACAGGCGTGAGCCACCACACCCGGCCAGCAAAGATGATTTTAAGAAAACTTTTGTAAAAGCTCTCACCGATGCCTGTCAGCTGTTTTATGCGTCATTATTAGAATATTTGGGAGTAGAATCATGTGACTGATCAATAACATTGTTTACTGTCTAGCAGAGGCTTTTGAAAACGTATTTCCTGGCTGGGCATCGTGGCTTCCGCCTATAATCCAAGCAGTTTGGGAGCTCAGGGAGAGCGGATCTCTTGAGCCTAGGAGTTCGAGACCAGCCTGGGCAA